AGGGCCATGGCCTGCGGCGGCAATCCGCGTTGCCCGATTTAATGGCTGCCGCCAATGCCGCCGACCCCCAAAAGGAAGGCATCATTCCCCCTTACAGCAACTGTTAGCACAATGGGTTATAGGAGATATAAGAGCCCCCGTAACAAGGCCCTTTTAAGGACAGGTACTGGGAGGGGGAATGATCCAAGCTTGAGGATTCGGGGTTTTGGGAGTCCAAGGTTGAGGGGTTCTGCCCTCACCCCAGTTGTGTTTCCCACCCAGGAAGCTGTTGTGCCGGAGGGCCGGGTGGGGCGGAGTGGGGTTGAGTAGGGCCGGGTAGGGCGAGTAGGGCCGGGTAGGGCTGGTAGGGCCGGGTAGGGCTGGGAAGGGAGTAAGAGGACGGAGTGGGGTTGACGCTGGGCCCGGTGGGGCTGGGTGGGGGGGGAGTAAGAGTATTCTCATGTCACTAAATACTAGTAAACAACTCTCTGCATATTAGTGCGAATGCGAAGCACACTAGCATTTCGGGTCAAATTTGCCCGTTTTGAGTTGACTGACGCACAAGGGGGGTGAGTTCTGGCTGGGGGACCCCTCTAGGGGGGTCTTTCCATAAGTCCAGGACCACCTTGCTTGTGCTAGGGCCCTCGTGCGATGCCGCCTTTTGTGGGCTGGCTCAAAACGGGCCGCAAAGCGAGTGAGGATCACTGGGACACTTTGGAAGTGGACCGGTGGGTCGAGTTCGTCGCCCTGGATGACGCCGGAAAACAGCAAGGACGAGTGTTGGCGTATCTTGTTGCCGAAGGAGAGAGTGGACGAATGAAGGCTGGCAAGATCCTGGTCGCTCATGTTCTGGGGTGCGAGGACGAGTACTACGAGCACTGGCTGGATGGTACTTATGGGGTCTATAGACTGGACCGTCGCTGCCCTTTGCATTTCTGCGCCACACATGCCAGCCGTTGTCGAGAGCCAACTGTGTACCGAGACATTATCCATGTGGACGTGTTTCGCGTCTTGGAGCACGAGTCACTGGATAAGCTGGCGTGGCTTCGTGATGAAGTTCGAGGCCGGATGGTGGCCTACCCCGCCTACGTTGCCCATGTGACCGCTGCTCCTGGGGCTTCTGGCCCGGGGGGTGGTGGAATGCAGGGTGATGGAGGACAAGGGGTAGTGCCTGGGATTCCTGGAATTGAAGGTTTGGCTGGAGCCTTGGGCGCTGGCGTTGCCCAGTCAGAAGAAGAAGAAGCGTCGCAAAGGCGAGACTGCGGAGGACGCCGAGACGGATGGTGGACACTCGCCAGAGGACTTGGCTGGGGAGATCGCACGGCGTAAGCCTCAAGCCCCGTTGGCTTCCGCCTTGGAGCTGACTGGCGATGCGGGTGACAAGAAGAAGAAAAAGAAGAAGGAGGAGGCTGAGACATCGGACTCCAGCTACAGCAGCGAGGACTCAGTTTTTCGGTTGGCCGCCCTTCCTCGAGGAGTGGAGCGACTAAGGAGGATTCATCAGCGAAAGCCAGGGAAGCTAGCTTCGCTGACCCTTCTGAGTTTCAAGAGCTCCTACTGCGAGCACAAGGAGGGGAACCGGCACAGCCGAGCTCGCGAGTCCCGGGAGTCGCCAGGGCCTACCTGCGCCAGATCTACTTCGCCCAGCACGGAGTAGATCAGCTAGGGCCTCGGAACACCAAGGAGCTGCTGACGATAGCCACGGCCGCAGACTACATCTGCCAGAACGACAGTGCGAGCACTAGACGTGCTTCTGCAGCGGCTGAAGGCGCTCGAGGTGGCACAGTCGCAAGGGAACTGGAGTCAGGCGGCAGAACTGGAGCTGGTCATGACCCACGACCAAACAGCGGTATTCAGACAAGAGTTGAAGGCCGCCCAGCAAGAGGTCAAAGCCGATCTAGAGCTCCAGAAGGACCCACGCCGCCGGAGTTGGAGGCCACAGAGGTGGTTCGCGGCCGCCGACGCAGGCGAGACGGTGAAGGAGGACTTGGACAAGCCGCCGGAGAACGCTCCAAAGCGTCCCCGGAAAGGAAAAGGCAAGGGCAAGAAAGGCAGGGGAAGTGGCGGCGCTGAAGCTCGATGAGGAGGACTCCTTCCCGGGCGAGAGTGGTCTGGTTGTTGATGGCATACTTCGGCTACCGGAGCTGGAAAGCGCCTTCCCTGGGATCTATTCTGATGATCCTTTGCCTGATTATCAGTTGGTGTTGGGATTTTGTAGGATCCCGGAGCTGGGTGACCTTCTGAAGTTTGGTCTCCGACAGCTGGCAAGTGAAAGCTCTCGAGATCGCCTCCGCCACAACTTTGCCTGCTTCATGGTGGACCACTCGGACCTGACTGCCGAACCGTTCCTGGCTAAGGCCATTGAGTTCTTCGCCGAGTTTAACTCTCCATGGGGCCCTCTGGAATCGCTGGCCTTTGCTTCCAATTTGGGGGCAGGGGGTGGCATCTCCGGGGGGCTGCATGGACGTGCGCTTGAGGAGGACTGCAAGAAGGTTCTTGAGCTCTTGCGGGCAAGCTTCACCGGCGATGGTTCGTCGAAGCGTTCTGCAGTAGCTGCTGACGAAAGTCAGCCAACTGGATATTACATCCTTGGTGCGTATGGCTCGTCGGAGCGCTGCGGCATCACCAGTGTCACATCGAGACACTTCGGGGTGACCAAGGAACTCAACACTTGGCTTCGCACCTGGTTGCCGGGACACACTTGGACGAGCCTGTGCATAAACTCGAATGAGAAGATTGCTCTTCATGCTGACTTGGGAAATCTCCCTGGCACTCTGAACCACTCAATTGCCTTGGGTGACTTCGTCAATGGTGCGCTTTGGGTTGAAGACTCTTCGGGCACCGAGCTACGTTCTTTCGACAATGTCGACGGCCAACTTCATGGACGTTGTGTGGATACCCGCAGGCAGTTCTTCAGCTTTGATGCCCGAAGCAGACGCTATGTGCAGGATTGGACTGGAGTGCGGTGGTCTGTGACGGCATACACGTGTCGACGTCTCCAGGACTTTTCAAAGGCGGACCTGAAGACTTTGGTTGACTTGGGTTTTCCTCTTCCAGATTTTCCAGCAAAGCGGTTGTTGGAAAGTTACAAAGGGGATCAGCATCTTCGAGTACTTCAAAGGATGGGACGCCTCCGATGGCGGCATCTATGTTGGCCGTGGAAGTGCTGAACTTACCCGCAGTGTTTTTCAGGAAGGCATGAGCGCCAATTTCGAAGGGACGGCGGCCCAGCTTGCTTTGAGCGGGCGACCTCTCTATGTCATGGCTGGAGAGATCGATGCTGCCAAGCGACTTGTTGATGATTGGAACCTGCGACCTGGCCGGTGCTGGGTCATGGATACCTGGCGCTCGTGGCTCCGCTTTTGGCTGGTCGATGGGGTGAACATGGCCTTTGTTGGGCTGGTGCTCAAACTTGGTTTGGGGCAGACCTGGGCACTTGGGAAATTTCATCAGGTGCCTCTTGTGCTGCGCTAGAAAGCAATTCAAGGCCAACCCCATCGAGTTGTTACCAGCTGCTCTGCCCAAGGAGTCTGCCGAGCTCTTGGCGGTCCAGGAAGAGATGCTCCGGTTGTGGGAGCGTGGCTCGCTGGCGGCTGGAGAGTTGCAGAGCTTCAAGGCGAAAGTCACCCCCTGAGCTGGGAGCCGAGTGCTGGACGTACCTCCAGTGGCGCTCTTGGACTACATGTACTGCGGTGGCAGGCAGATGTTGGGCCAAGTTATGGCGCACCCCGACACCTGGACCGAAGGTCAGAAACAAGCAGTGGACCGATTGCACAAGTACTCCCTCCTGTTGACCTCGGACTCCAACACGGAAGTGGCGATTGAGAAGTGGGAGGTTGTTCGTCAGTCCCTCGGCGATATCTACTTCGGCCGTGAAGTGGAGAAAGCGTACCGCCTGTCCTGGAGGGCCATTGAGCCCCATGTCCCCGGTCCTGGGGAAGCAGGGCGTGTTGACCTCGCTGCTCGCTTCGGTGGTTTCGCCCGAGCTTCGCGACTATGTTCTTGAGCCTGATCTCCTCAGGATTCCAGATGCTGAGGTAGTAGATCCCAGGTATGAGGCTCCAGTCCTAGTGGAGTCCGACCGCGAGTACGACATTATTGTGTCGAACCTGGTGAAGGCTGGGATGCTGGAGCGTGAAGTCGAATCGGAGACCCTTCGCCTGAATGATCATCCAGTGTACAATGGTCTCTTTGGTGTGCACAAAGGATGGAAGGAAGAGGACAATGGTCAGTGGTTTCGCACGCTCCGCTTGATTGTTAACTTGATTCCGTCGAACAAGTGCCAAGGCAGGCTGCCGGTTCAGGCTTCAAAGAAGATGGGTTACGCCCCGATGTGGGGGAGAATGACTTTGCTCGAAGATGAGGTGGTCATGTGTTATGCCGAGGACCTCAAGCACTGCTTCCACGTCTTCTCCCCCGGCCATAAGTGGCGTGGTTACTTCGTTCTGAACAAGCGAGCTTCTGGAAGTGCCTTCGATGACGGGTTGCCCGACCACGCCAGGCCGAGGGTGAAGTCGGCCCCGATGGGGTGGACTAATATAGTTGACTTTATACAAGATGGCTTGGAGCGCATGGGCAGTATTGCAGGAGTGCCTTCACAGAGAGTGATCAAAATGGGAGAGCCGAGCCCCATGGCTGCCTTGACAACGCCGCGCTCCTTCTTCTCGTTCTACGTTGACAACTACGACCAGTTCACTGTGGTTGCTGAAAGCGAGATTGGCATCTATGCCGGTCGTCCAAGCGATGAGCAGTTGCAACTTCGTGAAGTCTTCAAGGTGTGGGACATAGGACGTGACCCCAAAAAGTCAGCAGAAGGAGTGCTAAACTGGTCGAGCCTCGGTGCTGAGCAGTTGGGGCATGAAGGCTTGGTTGGTTCTATGAGGAAGCTTCGCCGGGGCATCCTTGGTTCAACTTTGTGCCTTCTCCAGACAGGAGGAGTTCGATGTGGCTCGCCGGAACTTCAGTCTTTGGTTGGGAAGTTCATGCACTCTGTGCAATTCTGCAGGCCCCTCGCATCTATGTTCGACTCCCTGTACATGCACCTGTCGCAAGGGCCAAGCTCGTCACTCTGTGGTGAAGAGGCTCTTGAGGAGCTGCTTCTGCTGTCAATGAGCCTGCCGATGCACTGGCTGGACCAACGGCTCAAAACATCGCCGACTGTGTATGCCACAGATGCCTCTCCTGATGGTGGTGGAGCCTGCGCCAGTGTTGAGCTCTCAGCTCGTGGTCGCGCCAAATGCCAGAACCTCCTTACGATGGATGACCTAGGCGGGAGGAATGATGATGTGCTTGTCGTTGAGTTCTTCGGTGGCATCGGTGGGCTACGCAGAGCGTTGGAGCTGCTGGGTGTGGTCCCTCAGGGGATTGTGGATGACATTAAGAAGGTCACTGAGGAGATGGTGCGTGATTGGCGGCGCCAGTTCCCTCGGGTCAAGCGAGTGATAGTTGGCGGCGGCTGGCCTTGCGTAAATCACTCACTGCTGAATTCAGCGCGAGAGGGTGCTGGCGCTGAGTCATCTGAGCTCTTGGATGTGATGTTGCAAGTTGTGAAGTGGCTCCGCAAATGCAGTAAGCCACTGCGCTTGCCTGACTGGGAGATTGTGGAACTCTATGAGAATGTCGTCATGGACGAGTTAGACCTGGAAACCCAGTCATGGAAGATTGGGTTTTACCCAATGTTTGTGGAAGCTGGTGATATGCTTTGGTGCCGCCGACCTCGTCTTTGGTGGCTTCGTGGCTTGCCTCTGCTTGCTGCAACAGACCTGAGTGTGGCCGAGAAAGTGGACAAGTCGGCCTCGCCTCATTATGCGAGCCTTTCAAAGGTCAAGCGCGTGAAGCTTGCGTGCGCCAAGCCTGCGGTGACTACAGTTTTGGACCCCGGATGCAAGAAGCTGCTGGAAGATGATGAGCCCTTCTTCACCTTTACTCGTCCTCAGGCAAGGACGGCTCCTCCACCGGACCCAGCGGGGTTGGCGAACTGCAGTCAGAAGGTTCTTGGTCGTTGGAAGGGAGACGCCTACCGCCTGGCGCCATACCAGTATCAAGATGCCAACATGATCCGCTCAAGTGCTGGGATCCGCCGTCCAAATGCCAAAGAGCAACTTCGGATGTTGGGCTTCTCGAACCGTCACCTCGAACTCTTGGGAACTCCTGGCCAACACCGGTGGTGGCGCGACTTTTGGCTGCCCTTGTTTTGGATGCCTCGGAAGTTGCTGGGCGAAACCTTTGCAACGAGATCATGGAGGTGCCCGCCGCTGATGAGGCAAAGACTTCGCGGTTGCAGAGCTCAAGCTGGCAATCTAGGTTTGGGCCCGAGGCGGGCGATTTGCCGACGGCTGCATCCCTGCGTGCGCGCGGACGGGTGCAGTCACAGGAGGTCGCTGGCTTTATAAGGTCCCTTCCTACTTCGTGGGCAGATGAGCAGCTGCTGGTGTACCTGATCTCCCAGAATGTCACTCACCGGGGCACGGATGTCGCACCAAGCCCCCATGATTGCGTCGGACTTCTGCCGACGGACTGTGGACCCGACTATGTGGTCCTGGAAAGTGGTGATGTCGCATAAGTGGAAGCGACCAGGCCACATCACTTTGCTGGAGCTCGTTGCGATTCTCGACCTCTTGAAGAGACAATCGAGGACCAATGAGTGGCGCTCCTCCAATGTCCTGGTGCTCGTGGACAACCAAGCGGTCATTGCTGTTTTGGCGAAGGGCCGCTCCAGTGCTCGTCAACTCCAAGGCCCTCTCAGGCACGTGGCTAGCCTGATGCTTATGGGCCACTTCCGCTTGCTGGTGGCGTGGGTCATGTCAGAGTGGAACCCGGCAGATGGACCCAGCCGCTGGGTTGGGCGCCGGGCGCTACGAGATGCCTAAGCGGCAAGTCTTGCAGAGAGCCACCAAGCAAGAGCGGAAAAAGGAGAGGGCAGCGCTGGGCAGGTTACGAGCACAAGTAGTATCACCCAAAACTGAACATAGGTACCTTGGCTGTGTTTCACGTTTTCTTTGTTTTCTGAAAACTTCTAAGAAGTCTCATCCTACTTCCTTCTTACTTTTGGACCGCTACCTTTGTGAATTCATCGAAGAGCTTTGGCATGATGGCGAACCTAAAGGTTATGCTTCGGATGCATTGTCTGGCATCGGACATTTCATACCTTCGGCAAAGCCTCACATGATTGCTGCCTGGCGCTTGCGTGCTGCTTGGGGTCGTGCGGAGTTACCATGCCGAGCCCCACCGTTTACTGCTGTCATCCTCTATGGCTTAGCGCAAGCTGCCTATAACAAGGGCTGGGATGACACTGCGGTTTTACTCATACTGGGCTTCCATACGTTTGGACGCAGTGGCGAGCTCTTCAGTGCCCAATGCAAAGACTTAGTGTTGTCTGGTACCGCAGGGACATGGACTTTGCCCCTTAGCAAATCTGGTCAGCGCACAGGCATGACAGAATCCATCTTGCTGGATGATGCTTTCGTTTGCAAACTCCTGCAAAACTATTTGCGTCGAAAAGCTCCGGGTGACCTTCTGTCAAAAGTTTCTCCCCAAGTCCAGCGGAAACGTCTTTATGAACTCGTTGAAAGCTTGGAGCTCCACGCTCCATACCGCTGGTACAGTGTTCGTCGTGGGGGGGCCACTCACTTTTTCAGACAAACTGGCAACCTGGCCCAGATTTGCTCGAAAGGCCGCTGGAATTCGCAGAAAACTGCAAAAATTTACATTTCTGAGGGCGTGGCTCAGCTGACTGAGTTGCAGCTTCCTGCGGCACAACTTCGAGCTATGGAGGCGTTGGCCGTTCGTGCACGTCCCTCCTGGCAAAACTTCTTTTAAACCCTCCCACTGCCGCCCATGTATGCTCATCCTACCCTTCCTGCTTGAGCGGCTACGTCAATGTCGGGCATAGGCCCTGAACAGGGAAGGGTGGAATAGAGGCTGGCCGGATTTGCAAAGGCATGACCATTTGGTCAGTCAGGAGGGCCCGGTCAGGATGAGTGTTGGTGGCCCAATGTTGGTTCGGGCACATCGCTGAAGCTCTTGTCTGGGAAGGGCGGTTGGCCATCTCACTTCCTTGGACGGGAGCTTCTTTGATGTGTGCGGGCCCTCTTGATTTTCTTGACTTGCGCATGCAAGTACTCATAACTTTCGCTTTCTAGCGCAGCTGTGTGCAAAAAATAGGGCGCAGGGTGCCCAGCAGGAGCACTATTAATATTATTATAGTAGGGCCAGGTGGGACGGAGTAGGGTTGAGTAGGGCCCAGGGGGGCCGGGTGGGGCGGAGTGGGGTTGAGTAGGGCTGAGAAAAGGGATCAATCTAACTTCTGGGCGCCGCCCCAGCAGCAGGGTCGGCGGATATTGATATTGAACCCCCCGAAGCCTACTCTTCAAATATCTTAACTATACAATGGCTCACGAAATCTTGAAAATCTTTCAGCATTTTGGAATTAAATCGATCTAATGGTATATCTAGAAGAAAATGTGTGAGCTCAGCGTTTCGCTTGGAATCCAAGATTCTAAGATTCTAAGATTGCCGGGGACTCTTCTTGCAATCTTGGATTCCAGATCCCGAAATATCAAAGATATGAGGAATTTTGATTTTCAATATTTTCAACCCAAGATTCCAAGACAGACTCTGCTGGAATCCTAGAATGTTACAATTTACATTGTCAAAATAATTCTTACGATGCATTTCGCGATCTGGAATTCAACATTCCAAGCAAATGGGCAGACAATCTGGAATCCAATGTTCCAAGAAAGAGTCTGCTTGAATCCTAGAATTATAAAATCTTGGATTCCCAATAATTCAACATTATGCTTGAAAATACATCTTCAAATATTTCGGGATCTGGAATCCAAGATTGCATGAAAGAGTCCCCTGCTATCTTAGAATCTTGGATTCCAAAATTGAAAATTGATATTTTCAATACATTTCAAGATATTTCGGGATCTGGAATCCAAAATTGCAAGAAAGAGTCCCGTGTAATCTTAGAATGTTAGAACTTTGGATTCCCAATATTTCAAAAATAGCATTGTTACTGTATTTTGAATATTTAGGACCTGGAATCTGAGATTCCGAGAAGAGTCCCCTGGAATCTTAGAGTGTTCGAATTTTGGATTTTCACCATTTTGCAATGAACATTTTCAATATCGTTTCTTTCAATATTTTGGGATCTGGAATCCAACATTCCAAGAAAGAGTGCACTGCAATCTTAGAATCTTCAATGTCAGATGTTGAAAAATGATTGGTTTTGATATTTTGAAATGCTTTGAAATCTGGAGTCCAAAGATGGAAGCAAGAGGCGTCCAGCATTTCATAATCTTAAGATCTTTAGTTGAAAGTATTTTACGTGAATACTCCTAACCTAAATCAAAGATTCCAGTCAATAATTACTCAACGCGATATGTACATACTGACCGACAATTCCTACAATGTAGGAGCTTTCAACTATGAACGCACATGTGTATATACATACGTACTGTATATGTAGTAAATATGCATACACCATGAAGAAGTCTACAGGCAACGCCCTGATACGGTACTGCCTACCTCACGCATTTCATTCATCCCACAATAAAAGTTTATTATAAGTGTATTGGTCCCTGGTATCATCAAGAATTTCCCTTCCGACGGGCTTTGCTGCCAGTGGCCTGGCTGCCTATATGAATCACGAATCTGCAGGACAATTCTGCATGCTGGTCTCCTCATTTTCTGTACATCAAACCCTTGCTAAATGAGTGTCAAATCTAAGGCCTGGGCTCCTTGTTTTTTGTATATCTGTCACATCTGTAACTGTGTTTAGACTTTAACAAGGAATTCTCAAATGCAGGGCCCAAGCCTTTACATATATAAACCCTTTACTAAATGTGTTAAGGAATTCTCAGATTCTGGGCTCCTGACTTTCTGTATAAAAATTCAAATACAACTTGATTTCGGATTGCAAGGACCAGTCTCTGATACCTTCTCCTTCTTCTCTCTATATAAAGGAGTAAGAAATTGGCTGTTCCTTACGATGCGTGCTTACGATTTAATGAGAATTCTCAAATCTTGGGCTCTCATTGTTGATACATACAATTTTGGTGTTAAGCTTTGAGGAAGACGTGTAAGTACAATACTTGGGATATAGTCTTTGGGATTTGAGGTTCTGTTTTCAGGGAAGAAGGCTGATGCAATACATGAGATGTACTATTTGGGATTTGAGGTTCTCAGTTCACGGACGGGAAGAAGGATGTATGTCACACTTAGTATATACTATTGGGACTTGAGGTTCTGGGTGCAAGGACGAAAGATGTATGCAATACTTGCTATATACTATTTGGGACTTCCGTTGCCAGGTTCAGGGAAGAAGGATGTATATAATTGTAAAGCTAACGCGCGCCCGCCTCGGCTGG